CACACACACACACACACACACACACACACACACACACACACACACACACACACACACACACACACACACACACTGCCTTCAGAACAGTTTGGCTTGGAGCCATGGGGCTGCTTAAAGTGCAGCGAAATGATTTAACCCTAGATTATAATCATGAGTTCATTAATCTAATCTTYTTAAAATCTTAATCTCCTTTAGTGTGCATGGAAGAACTTGGTCAGATCAGCTTGTGAGAAGCAGCAAAAGTTTTGGAAATATGATTTATGAGCAACTAATGTGTAACTTKGAAATTTCCTCGTTATTTTGTAACCTGGAATGAGAACGACACTGAAGCTCTTGATGCGGAAACAATAAAAAATGTGCAGATTCCTAAACACTACACAGACACATGTTCTCATTCATACGATCTCTGACAGCTGAGGAACAGCAGCAGCTTTTTAGCTTCAAAAGCAGCTGTTGAGTGACATGAAAGAGGGAGTGAAGAGCCACAGAAAAAAGAAGGGGAAACCTGAGAAGTGTGGCATCCACTTTGTAAGTGGGGCTCCCACTGCTGGAGTTCAATCAGTTTGCGCAAAAAAAAAAAAAAAAAAATCTCAAAGTCTGCTTTTGGTCTGAATGAAGATGACACTTGGCAAATTAAATTAGCATGCAGCATGAACAATAGCTCTCCTCCCATTGTAAACCAAAGAGGCAGGTTGTGCAAGGTTGTGCAACAGCAGAGGCTTGAAAGTGGCACACCTAATTAAATATTGCCTCTTTTCTCATGTCAKTAACTACCGGTACACCTTCTGACATGTTGGGGCATGTCCCTGCAAAGAAAAAAAAAAGAGATTCAAATTTTTCAAAGTCCTGAATACATTTGTCACTCTGAATTCAAATTTTCTTAAAATTGCATCTCTTAGCGTTAATGCAAGCTTTTATTGTTTTGTGTTGTGTTGTATTGTGCAGGTTGATTCCAAGCTGACCTGCTTGTTGTTCTGAAAAGCCTGAAAAGTGAACACATTCTTGATGATTATTTTTAAAACCTCACGAGAACTCAAATCCTCCAGAAAATGTCAGGAATTTGATTGAAGAAAGAAAAACTGTACAGGCTCCTCAGAGGGCCTTAACCTGCAATCATATGATCATTAACACTGTTGTGGAGTCAGTTGGGCCAAGCCTGGAGAAAAAAAATCCTGAGTAATATTACAGGTTCATACCTATGTTCCCCAGTACCTACTGTATGTTCCACGATATGTTCTCTAGTAACTATGTTCCATGATATAAATGTTCCCTGTCACCTATGTTCCACGATACCTACGCTCCCCAGTACCAATGGTCCCTGTTACCTATGTTCCACGGTATCTACGCTCCCCAGTACCAATAGTCCCTGTTACCTATGTTCCACGATACCTATGTTCCCCAATGATCCCTGTTACTTATTGTAGGGGTAACCCTGGTGAAATAAACATGTCTATTTTTTTTTTCGTCTTTGATTTTGCTTATACACTTATAAGAAGAAAGTCATTTTAAAGTTTGTTTCTATTTTCTTTAAGTAAATGGGACAATATGTTCTATTTGTTTTATTTCATTTAATCTTCTATTAGAGGATCTGTGCATCTCTCTTTATTCCAGAAGTTTAACACTGTGAAGAAAAAGAGTTGAAATGTGTTTTACTGTTTTTCTTAGTACTGGTTTATTAATCATGGTTTTATCATTTTTCTTAATGGGTTTAATGGTTAATTATTGTGTACTATTAATTTCACTATTAGTCCATTTGTGCAAAGTGTTGGATATGATTTATAACCTTAGGTGAAGTGATTTTTAAGTACAGCTTAGTCTGTCTATTCAGACTTCCAAGGTCTTTTGCTGATAACAACCCACAGCTGGCCGCGCCAGTGTGGGAAAAACAGATTGTTTATCTTCTCTTTTTTTCTCTCTCAAGGAACTAACTTTCTGTTCACACAGTTAACGGTAGTTCTTGTCTGTCGTTGGAGCGGATGGTTCTAACTGGGTCTCTGAGGAGTGCGTGTCCGTCTCTGGGCACCTGTCCGGATGGGAGTCTATGTTACTAACCTAATTCTACTGCCGAGAAGCGAGTGAGACCAGCCGGGAGCCCGCTGAGGCTCGTTAGGGGGAGACGAGAGGCTTCTCAACCCCCTGCTGTCATGAGGACATTATCCATCTTGGCGGACTTCATGAGGCTGTCACTCACAAACCGTCCACCTGCCTGTGGGCTCTGTCTGAAGACATCAAAAAGGTAGACAAATGTTTGCTGAGATAAAACGCCGAAGTCTAGCCCCGGAGGTGTCTCGTCTTGACATGCTGTGTGCTGGTCTGGTCTTCACTTGTGGAGAACAAGTGCTAAACTCACTAATTTCTTTTCCTCCTATCCTTAAAGCTTAAATCTTTATCTTTATTCTCTTTTTACTTAAAACTTAGTTAAGCAGCGTGCCAGTAAAGTTACAACACCTGGAATTTACTGTTTATGTCAACTCTGAGGTGAAATTCATATGTCGAAAATATAACTTGTGTTCATTATTCATATAATATTTTTAATAAATGTTTGTGTGTTTAATCCTGTTCATATATCTAAAAATAAATTACTTTATTTTGGAAATCTGTTCAGGTCACAAGTTTTCATTTCTCATTCATGATCAGAGTTATTTTTATCATTGTCTGGGATTTCATAATGCAAAGATCTTAAGGGATTATTTTGTGAGATTGGGCTGGTCCTAATTTCATAGAGTGGTTCATTACATTATGTTCCACGATACCTATGTTCCCCAATGGTCCCTGTTACTAATGTTCCACGATACCTATGTTCTCCAGTACCAATAGTCCTTACCTATGTTCCACGATACCTATGTTCCCCAATGGTCCCTGTTACTTATGTTCCACGATACCAATGTTCCCCAGTACCAATAGTCCCTGTTACCTATGTTCTACAATACATATGTTCCCCAGTACCAATAGTCCCTGTTACCTATGTTCTACAATACATATGTTCCCCAGTACCAATAGTCCCTGTTACCTATGTTCCACGATATCTATGTTCCCCAGAACCAGTGGTCTCTGTWACCTATATTCCGCGATGCCTTTGTTCATTGATGCAAATGTTCCCACACACCTATATTCTCCTGTACCCATGTTCTACCATACCTTAGATTGCTGCTATGTTCCATGGTATCCATGTTCCCCGGTACTACAGTATGTTCCCTGGTACTTAGTATGTTCCCAGGTACCTACAATGTGTTCCCAGGTATTTACATGCCCCAGTAACACAATACCTGTGTTTCATGGTACAGAAGTTCCCCGTTATCTATGTTCCACAATACCTATGTTCTCGGCACTTGCGTTCTCCCATTTTTAATAATAAAAGTCWTGAAAGACACTTGTCTACCACTTTAATTTTCTTTTAAAACAAATGAAAAAGACACTGCCTGGTTAAAAACAAAGTTGCCACCTGGATTTAACTAAGTGCTCTGAGCTGGGGTTGCTGCAGTTGATTAGGTCTATGTTCAGYAACAGTGTGTGCTCAAAGAGTGAGGTCAGTTGACTACCTGAATATACCGAATGACCAATGAGTGGTTCAGGGAGCATGAGATATCATTTTCACACATGCATTGGCCACCACAGAGTGCAGACCTTAACTCCATTGAGAATCTTTGGGATGTGCTGGAGAAGGTTTTGCGTAGCGGTCAGACTCTACCATCATCAATGCAAGCTAATGGAAACAATGTTGTAATCAAAGCTAATGGCGGTTCAACAAAATATTTGAGTGTGTGACTTTTTATTTATTTATTTATTTATTTTTGGTGGCAGAGAACACACTGAGGAAGGTTGAGATCTGAGGAACATGGGTGTATCTGAGAAACAAAGGGATCTGAGGAACGTAGGGATGAGCCCGAYATTACTGGTTATCTTGTTGTCAGTTTTGGCATTTATGAGGCTATTAAAAGATCAGTTTGCTTTTTAAAAACCATGAGGGCTTAGAAAACYACAGGGCTTATTAATATTTTACTTTCTTAAAAAACACATGATGAATATATTTATGTTGTTTGCAATTATTTGAAAGGTTGCCACACATTTTTACTGTGAAAGCCTTGATGCAACGTTTGGTTATTTATGTCGAGTTATTTTTTTATGTATAGAAGGCATAATTTAAGTCTTAGCCAAAATATGTCTAAATAATTCAATTTTGTGAAGTTATAAGTGTCGGGGGATAGTGATGGGTGTGTTGGATATGCTCTTGATTTTCTAAATCCACTTTTGCAAACCAGACTATTAGAGTCTTAGCAAATCGTCCATTAGTGTTTTATGCAATCTGCTGTGATTAAAAGGCTCAAGAGTGAAAAGAATATAGCTTTCACCATGTGAGCCTGGGGTGTGTCATGGTTGCACCACTGAGTCAAAAAATACTTTACTGAGTTTTTGTCAAAATCAAGTTCAGGTTTGAAAAAAGCTTTCCTTCGTTTTGAATATTGGTGACTTCAACTAAAAATTTTGTTGCAACAAATAATTATAAAAGTTTTTTTTTACAAGATTTGGTGGTTGAATTTGTCAACATCACAGGTAGGGTTGGGCATAATCATATCGTGTGCAATTAATCGTCAGAAAAATATTAATCTATTTTTTTTGGCACTTGACGATTAATACGATTAATAATGTCACCAGGCAGACTGACAGATTCAATTTAAAAAAAATTCAAAAATTTATTAAAAAATATAAAAAAGTTTGGTGCTCCTTTACACTTCAAATATGACGAACATTTAAAAAAATCTGTAATTTATTCATCTATCAACACAATTTAAAATTTGATGTACAGCCCAAAGTCTGTATTTTTGACAATTTGAAACAGATTTTTATGAAGAGCAAATCTTTCCCACTAAATTGGTCGTGTGACTAGGACATAAGGGTGTCCAGGGACTCCAGGGGATTAATTGTCAAATTAGTCGTTATTGGCTAAATACCACGATTAACCGTGATCAATTTTTTTTGCCAGTATTGTCCAACCCTAATCACAGGTGGTCAGCTGTCTAATAAATGGCTAGCTGTGCACTGCAAAGCTTGTGGGACATGTGATGTGAGTMTCAACAACACTGAGCCAATTATGTCATGTTTCATTTGCTTAATACAGAATGTTTTCATTTTGTTAAAGTTTAAATTGATTTTTCTGCCTTTTCTCCATTGTTTTGCTCTGCTTTGTCCAAACTCTGCAAGCTGTTTGCAAGTTTCTCTGAATGTTCAGTTCAAGAGACTGTTTTTATTGTGTTAGTGAGCAGCTGAAACACTTGGTGACAGGTGTGTTTTGGGGGTGATTTGTTGCATTTCTTTGTAACAATACAGGACACTGAATAAAGAAAAAAAGAAAAGGCGCCTCTGCTCATTGGTCAGCTGCAGTGGGAGTAGGCGGAGTCAGAGAGAAGACAACGGCCGCTTTCAGCTCATTGGGCAGCTGCAGTGGGAGTAGGCGGGGTAAAAGAGAAAGCAACTTCTGCTTTCTGCTCATTGGTCAGTGCCGCAATAGTGGGCGGAGCCGAGAGAACACTGCCTCAGCTCTCCTTTCTCTCGGTTCACACTCGTACTCCGTGTGRTTTCCACCTCAGTGCTAAACCGAGCTACTTAAACTTTTCCACATTGTTCCTCCGCGGACACCCTCGAGAGTTAGAAGGAAAGTTACAAATGGATCTCGTTCGTCCCCGCTGTTTATCTCGGAACTCAGTTTTAAACTCGGGGAGCAGATTTGTCTAAACTGCGGCGCAACTTCAAAATAGCTCGACGGCGAAGTTGTAGCCGAGACGAGATAAAGGAATTCAGATCGGCCCCTCTCGCTCCTTTTCAAGGTAAGCGGACTTTTAATCCTACTTAGAGTATCGATCACAGGGATTATTCGCGCTCGTCTGACTTTTCTCTAACTTCCGACATGTGAGGATATTAGTTACAGGCTGTAATTGGGGACTGTTTGAAGTCGGGTGTTTGCAGCAGCAGCCTGGATGTTTACAGACCGCCGCTGCTGCTAACTTTGGAGGAAAGTTGAGCGGAGGCTGAAACGCTGACAGGAGTTTCACATTTAAAGCACAAAACGAATTGAATTTAACGCCGAGGCTTTCCACGGAAGTCCTCTTTTCAATGGGACCGAATAGCCGAGTTAAATTTATCTACTATGAAACAATGGAGGCTTTAAAGCGGAAGATATTTATTTGGTTCGTCTCGAAGCGGAGTAGTCCTCACAGTTACCCACCTAAAGGGGGAGATGTTCCTAGTRTAACAAAAATATAGGTAGTAAATCTTGTTTTATCATGTCCTCTTACATTGTACAGGAGCTGCAAGTACAGCCAAGCCCTCCTGATGTTCTGAAGCAGGATTCTGCTTTAATCTGTTCCAGTCTGCTTACATAATTTGGTCCTTAAGGAGGTGGTTAGAGGTGTCACATCAGCATGTGGGCATGAAAGCTTTGCCTTTGGCACCATCTTGTTCGTGAGCCAGCTGAGGAGCAGCATGAGCTGGCAGCAACTTATTGGCTTTCTTTTTAGTTAGAGGTGACTCATGTTTATAGGGGCAGTAAGGTGGTTCAGGATAACACACCCAGGTGTTTCTTCTTTTGCTTGACATTAATTACAGAAAGCTGGTTTTAAAGATCGTCAGCTTAGGTTAAAAAAAAAACCCAATTCCACCCACCCAGCTCTGACTGATTTATGGTTTTATTGATTTTTACACCATAAATCTGAGGGGGAAAGTATATCCTTATCTGGTCTTCTTTCATCTCTCTCCGGTCTAAAGTTCATTTCCGTTGAGCTGATACAAGCGTTTTAGTTTTTGAGCAATCATTCCTCAGATGCAGGTTTTGTCCATTCATGACAAAAGAAGAGTGTTGGWGGTTGCGTCGGTGCATGATGTTTAACACTCCTTCCTGTGCAGCTGTTTGTATAAAACAGAAACATATTTTCTGCTCTGCCCCCTCGCTGCTGCCAGGTCAAAGTCAAGATGTCTGTGAGCAACCACGAAAACAGAAAGTCTCGCTCCAGCTCCGGCTCCATGAACATCCAGCTCTTCCACAAGACGTCCCACGCCGACAGCCTGCTGACTCAGCTCAACCTGCTGCGCAAGCGGCGGGTCTTCACCGACGTTGTGCTGAAGGCCGGCAGCCGCTCCTTCCACTGCCACCGGGCCGTCCTGGCCTCCTGCAGTCGCTACTTTGAGGCCATGTTTAGCGGCGGGCTCAGGGAGAGCCGAGACGCCGACGTCAACTTCCACGACTCCCTCCACCCCGAGGTGCTGGAGCTCCTCCTCGACTACACGTACTCGGCCAGAGTCATCATCAACGAGGAGAACGCGGAGTCGCTCCTCGAAGCCGGAGACATGCTCCAGTTCCACGACATCAGGGACGCGGCGGCCGAGTTCCTGGAGAAGAACCTCCACCCGTCCAACTGCCTGGGGATGATGCTGCTGTCGGACGCCCACCAGTGCCAGAGGCTGTACGAGCTGTCGTGGAGGATGTGCCTGGCCAACTTTGCCACTCTCTTTAGAACAGAAGACTTCCTCGGCCTGCCTCGGGACAAAGTCCAAGAGCTGATCCTCAGCGAGGAGCTGGAGGTAGAAGACGAGAGCCTGGTGTACGAGGCCGTCATCGATTGGGTGAAGGCGGACATGGAGCGCAGACACAGCGAGCTCCCCGAGCTGCTGCGCTGTGTCCGCCTGGCACTGCTGCCCGAGTCGTACCTGCTGAACAACGTGGCCTCGGAGGAGCTGGTGATGTGCCACAAGGTGGGCCGGGAGATCGTYGAAGACGCGGTGCGGTGTAAGATGAAGATCCTCCAGAATGACGGCATTGTAACGGGGTTCTGTGCGCGACCGAGAAAAGTCAGCCAGGCCYTGCTCCTGTTGGGCGGACAGACTTTCATGTGCGATAAAGTCTACGTGATCGATAACAAGACCAAAGAGATCACCCCAAAAACGGACATCCCCAGCCCCAGAAAGGAATGCAGTGCTTGTGCTATTGGTTGTAAGGTATGTACGCAATGTTAACTACTAAACAATCATTTAAAATTTATTTGTGATTTGTACTTATTGTTTCTTTGTTAGGTTTACGTTACTGGAGGCCGTGGCTCTGAAAACGGGGCTTCCAAAGATGTCTGGGTCTACGACACGTTACACGACGAGTGGTCGAAAGCGGCGCAGATGYTGGTGGCCAGGTTTGGACACGGTTCTGCAGAACTCGACCACATGCTCTACGTGGTGGGMGGGCACACGTCTCTGGCGGGATCCTTCCCGGCTTCTCCGTCCGTGTCGCTGAAACAAGTGGAACAGTAYGACCCGCAGACCAACAAGTGGACCCTGGTGGCGCCGCTCCGAGAAGGRGTGAGCAACGCCGCCGTGGTCGGCGCCAAGAACAAACTCTTCGCCTTCGGGGGTACCAGCGTCAACCGGGACAAGTACCCCAAGGTGCAGTGCTTCGACCCCTGCCAGAACCGGTGGTCCGTCCCGGCCTCCTGCCCGCAGCTGTGGCGGTACACCGCGGCGGCTGTGGTGGGCAACCACGTCATCGTGATCGGAGGCGACACCGAGTTCTCCGCCAGCTCCGCGTACAGGTTCAACAGCGAGACGTATCAGTGGTCGAAGTTTGGCGACGTCACAGCCAAGCGGATCAGCTGCCACGCCGTGGCATCGGGGAACAGACTGTATGTGGTCGGGGGGTACTTTGGGGCCCAGAGGTGTAAGACGCTAGACTGTTACGATCCATCATCGGACTCCTGGGACAGCGTGACTAGCGTGCCCTACTCGCTCATTCCTACTGCTTTCGTCAGCACATGGAAGTACCTCCCATCGTAGAGACGCACGGACTCTAACCTAACCTGATGTTTCTAGGTGAGTAATTGTAGCTTCCATAAACTGACATGTAAAACACAAAACCAAATATTTGTTTATTGTCAGATAATATATGGAAATGGACTGAAATACCCAGTTGTTCCATAGCTACCAGGTTGGTGCTAGTGACACTTTGAACCCTGAGGCGGACAGTTTTTTTTAAAGCCCCTAAATGTTTTCACGGTTGCTGGTGGTTACAGTTGTTAAAGATTATCTAAGTGGCGAGTGTTGGATAAACACAGCGAAGTCCTGGTTTTATAGAGCTAAAAGGAATGTCAGCGGTGCTCGTAATTACAAAGCCAGAGCTGCAAAATGTAGCCTCTGTTACTGGCTGGGGTGCAGAGCAGAGGCAGGGGATCAGGTCTGTGCTTGTAATGTCAGGAGTCAAGCAGGGGTGCTCAGCACAGCCTTTTATTACACGCCAACTTCAAGCAGATGTGAGGTAGAAAAGGGATCGTGCAATTTAGATAAGATCAAGAATGTAGTTTTCAAAATGTCGTATATGAGATGTTTAAGATTTTAGCTTTGTCTTATTAATAAAACCAAAAAACAAGCATCACTCCTGAATTCCACTCATTTCCTCATAAAGCTAATAATTCAGTAGTTGTTTACAGGGTTTAAAAAGGCCTGCTTGAGTAAACACACGTGTTGACAGAACAATCTGTTCTGTTGAAAGGATTAACACTAGGTTAGGGAGCTTTTTATGGACTCAGGGACAGGGCGGCGGCGGAAGGAGGACCTCGACCCCCCCCCCCCCCCCCCCCC